TCCCTTGTGTTCCTTGGTTTCCTTGTACCATTGGTTTGTTTTGCTTGAGCATATGCTTTCTTTGGTCTGCCGTGGTACTTTGGTCGTGTTTTTGACCTTATTGTGGCATTGGTCATGCCGTAGACTAGTAGTGTTGTTGTTAGCCAGGACCTTATTGTGGCTTTGGTCAAGCCGTAGACTAGTTGTTCTAGCTAGGACCGTATTGTGGCTTTGGTCAAACCTGTTCTAGGCCCCCTTTCCCTTTCTTATCCTTTGTACTCCCCGGAAGGCTTGTCTTCTGTATGAGGGGCTGGCGTTAGGCCTCGGTTTGGTCCTCCCCTCACTTTATGGTGACGATGATATCTTAATAATACTCGGTAAGGGTTGCCTAGACCCTACCCCACCATACTTGGTGGTTTGCCCACTGGGATTAAAAAAAAAAACTCATAAGATCACTATCAAGTATCGGTACCCAATCCCACGTTTGGAAGACATGCTTGATGAACTGCACGGGTCTAAGATTTTCTCAAAAGTTGATCTTAGGAGTGGCTACCATCAAATCCGTATCTTTGAAGGAGACGAGTGGAAAACAGCGTTCAAGACAAAATTCGGACTATACGAATGGCTGGTCATGCCATTCGGGTTAACCAACGCTCTGAGTACATTCATGAGGCTTATGAATCAAGTATTGAAGCCATTCATAGGTCATTTTGTCATTGTCTACTTTGATGACATTTTGATCTATAGCAAAAGCGAAGAAGAGCACATGAATCACCTCACCTTGGTGATTAAGAAGTTAGACGATGAGAAGCTGTACAGAAATCTTGAAAAGAGTCAATTCTTTACTCAAGAGACGGAATTCTTGGAATACTTTATCTCAAGTGAAGGAATCAAGGTTGATGAAAAGAAGACCCAAGCCATTAATGATTGGCCGACTCCCACTACTATGCAGCAAGTGCGAAGCTTCCACGGGTTGGCCTCATTTTACCGGAGATTTGTGAAAGATTTTAGCACCATCACGACACCTGATGTACCCCTGGATGGCTCCATCAAAACCCCAAACTCTCCCAAAATATCCAAAAGCCTTTAATCTTCATTTGATAATCAAAATAAAGTCTTTCCCTCCTTTTTAGCCTTGGACGAAAATGAGGACCAAAAAGACAAACCTTGTGTGTTGTTTTCTACTTCTTTTGTTCCTTTCATTAAATAAGACCTTCCCCTTATTTTCTTACACCTTTCCAACGAAATTCCCACCCATTTTCTTCCTAAAATCCAGCCCTAAATCATGAGAAAACAACAACAAAACAAAAGGACAAAATCAGCAAAGAAGTCTTTGATTGAATAGTAACTTATTGTCCTATTATTCACTTAAAGTCAAGCCAAACTTTGTCTCCTTTGTATTGATCCCTTAGGGCCGAATTTCCTATATAAAAACAAGTCATTTTAGTCCTAATTTCAGCCACACAACATTCCTTTTCTATTTCCCACATAAGGCCGAGATATCACACCACAACAATCCAAATAAAATCCATTCATTTTATCCTTAAAATCAGCTCAATTAGGATGTTTTTGATAATGTCAAATGTAAGGAAGATGGAAGGAAGTTTCCTAGTTGTATTTATCTTCATTTGATTGTATTTCCCCTTCCCTTCCCTTGTATATATTTTGGCCATGAGCCATTGTAAAACCAGCAGATTGAATTGAATGAAAAACTTTGTTTACTCTTTTGAGTATTTTCTTAAAATAGTGTGATGCTATTTTAACCAAATTTCGTAATGAAATATCTCTAAAGTTGGCTACTTTTGAGTGTGTGTTAGGAGTCTAATTTATACATTAGTAGTGATTATTATTGTGTGAAATAGATAACAGCCCCAAATATAGTAAGAGTGTGTTTATCTCTTATTTATTATTTGGTTTATCCATCCTTGTTTTCTGTCCATTTCGTTCCTCTCCATATTCTCTTCCTAAGCCACATTCTATTCTATCTTCATAAATCAAAATACCAAAAAGAACTCCTTCATCACCTCCATATTTACCCAGCCATTTCCAACAATTGATTATCATAAAAGTGATAATCGACTATCAGGCATCTCTGAACATTCGTGGTTTGGAAATCATATCTTGTTAATCGATTATCAGTTAATGATAATCGACTATCATGCGTTTCTGAACTTTGGAGTTCAAAGTTGTTTCCTTCTTGCTTCCATTTCCTCCGTAAACCCGCCATCAAATTGATTACTTGATAAGACCCCGGGTCTCGGGTACAACATTTGGTATCAAAGCTATATTCGAAGACTTCCTTAAGTCTCGACGATCACCTTGTGGACCGACTTCACAAACGTACCCAAAAGAAGGTTGCTGAAAATTTTTCCAGAAACTTTCAGCTCCAAAGAATTGATCACGGAGGAAGCTACACAACAGATTTGGAAGTGAAAATTTTCAGTATAAAAGTTTGACTTTTTTTCTACGCGTGGTCATTGATTTCACTCAATTCCGAGTTGTGGTTAGTGAGATACGCCCTCCCGAAGTTGATAACAGAATCCTGGACGAGTTCTATCTACCTTGCTGAATTTGTCTCCAAAGAGGTAACAAACGTTCTTTAATGGCTCCAAATTTTTAATATGTCTTCGTGGACGTGGATATCTAGCTATGAGAGTTGGAATTACCTAATTCCAATCTCCGGTTTGTGAGATATGGTCTCTAAAAGACACCTCAGAAATCTGGAAATTTTCCTTGCAAATGGAGCAATATTGCAATGGGCTACTCGGCGATGTTTCATGTGTGGTGGCTGTGGTCATGGCCATTGGGAATGTTCAAACAAGTATTCCATACCATATGAAGAGTGGATCATGATTCATGAGGAGAAAAAGAAAAGCTGGTGTGACCAAGTTGTCATTGAGGAAAACATCTTAGATATTCCTGAAGATGACGTCTTCGTAGAAGAACCGGCTTCTAATGCTCAGGAAGAATCACACTATAATGATTCTTTCCTTATTCATGATGACTTTATTGAAGAGGTAGTTATAGAGAAAGCCTCACCGGAAGTTATATATTCTAAGGAAGTGATTTCCATAGAGTATTATCCTCTTTTCGGTGAAGGAAAATCTTATTTCATCTCCGAGATATGTTTGAAGCAGGTTCTTACAAGGAATGACATCATGTTCCGGAAATTACACAACGAGGTGTCTACTAATTCTGGAATGAACCTCATTATTGGTGGTTCGTTGAATTTCCCATTTGATCCGGGAATTCCTAAATGAACTAGTGACCTTTTCACGGTGGTGCGAAAGTTTGAGGACAAACTTTCTTTGAAGAAGGGGAGTATGATGTACCCCTGGATGGCTCCTCCAAAACCCCAAACTCTCCCAAAATATCCAAAAGCCTTTAATCTTCATTTGATAATCAAAATAAAGTCTTTTCCCTCCTTTTTAGCCTTGGACGAAAATGAGGACCAAAAAGACAAACCTTGTGTGTTGTTTTCTACTTCTTTTGTTCCTTTCATTAAATAAGACCTACCCCTTATTTTCTTACACCTTTCCAACGAAATTCCCACCCATTTTCTTCCTAAAATCCAGACCTAAATCATGAGAAAACAACAACCAAACAAAAGGACAAAATCAGCAAAGAAGTCTTTGATTGAATAGTAACTTATTGTCCTATTATTCACTTAAAGTCAAGCCAAACTTGTCTCCTTTGTCTTGATCCCTTAGGGCCGAATTTCCTACATAAAAACAAGTCATTTTAGTCCTAATTTCAGTCACATAACATTTCTTTTCTATTTCCCACATAAGGCCAAGATATCACACCACAACAATCCAAATAAAATCCATTCATTTTATCCTTAAAATCAGCTCAATTAGTGTTGGGAAAAATATTATAGATTTTGATGATGATGTATTTAGAATGTAATAGGGACTTTAGGTCTCCCCCAATATTCAATGTAATTTTTCTTTTTAGAAATACTGTCAAAACCGAGATCTTGAGATTTCCAATAAAGCTGTGATATTTCTTTAAGCGTTTTGATGCCTGAAGACTTAATCAAATTCAGTGATATGGAAATTGGATATCTTGATCGGAAATGTCAGAGACAAGCAAGGATTTCTCAAGCAGATGAAAATCCTCTGATCTGGAAGACTACATAAGAACCGGATGTCTCGCTACAACCCGCTGAAGGTTAAGTCATCCAAATCGGAAGACTAGCGCGGATCTCTTTCTCACCCGAAAGTCTGAGAATGACTCTTCCGGATTTGTCAGCTAAGAATCGGAAGACTCATTGAAGACCGGAACTCTCAGAAAGCGGACAAGTGAGAAAAGACTTAGAAAATTATCTAAGTCCTGAATGAAGAAATTCTACCCGTTGGTAAGGAAAAATCAATCTCTTGATTTTAACCGGCTAAATTGAAGATAATTATGCTGATTCAAGAACAAATGACTCGAAGACAAAGTCTGGACCTCTAAAATTGAAGAGTCTGTCCAGAATTCCTAAACAAGCACTAGAGGACAAACAGAGTAAAGTGCTACAGTCTTGAATTCTTAAACAACAGCTAGAAGACGGATTCTGTGGAAAAAGGAATCCTTTCTCAACAATTGGGTACGTCCAAACACCCACTTCAACAAAGAATCTTCAAATCACAATCTTCATTCAAAATTGAAGCCAGCAAATGCAACGGATAGTCTATTATGATTCAACGGATAGATTATCCAATCCAGCTATAAATAGGATCCTTGGAAGACTGGAGAAAGAACGATGATATAAAACAACACAACGAAGCAATCTCTAAAGCTATCTCATTCACTATTAGCCCAAAAAGCTTGATAAAGAGAGATTTCTAAACTCCTTATCCAGAAGCAAACTTCTCCTCCTTCCAAAGAGCTATAGTGTAAACACTTGAAGGTTTCCTTGCCTCAAGTACCACACCACGTTGAAGGATACTACTTTTGATCAAACTTATTGATTAAAAGGGGGTAGGTCAACTCTCTTACAAGTTGATCTTGCAAGTCCTATTGTTCGGACGTTGCAGTTGTTGAAGAAGCGTGACCTTCGAAGGAACAACAAAGCCAGCATGAGTGCAGTAGCAACATTGGTCTTGCGAAGATATACCGTGCAGAAATTCACACAAGTGTAATTGTTGGTTCATTATTCAACAACCAACTACATAGTGGATTTTGAGGACGTAGAAGGATTACCCCACCTTCGAACCTCGTTAAAGTTTGCGTGTCTCTCTCTTTTATCTTTACTTTTACTTGCAATTATATTAACTGTGAAAACTAACCCATCCATATTGATTACTGCTCACTCTAAAGTTCACAAGAACTCTAGATTAACACTTATCTTCACGTTTTCAAAAGAAACGAAAAAGTTTTTAAATTTGTAACAAAGTCTATTCACCCCCCCTCTAGACTTTGTATCTCACCACTTTGGGACCACCAATTGGTATCAGAGCATACTTCTCACTATCTACGTTTAGATTAACGAGAAGCGATCAAAATGGTGAACAATATGGATCACGATTTGCCCAAGTTTTCTCTTCTAGGTTATGATGATTGGAAGATCATGATGGAAGCACACCTCTACGCTCTACATGATTGCATGTGGATGGTGCTTGAGGATGGACCCTTCAAGACACTTGATCCCATCACCTTCTCCAGAATCAAGCATCTCAAGACTGCCATGGAGATATGGCAAGGTCTTGGGAAGCTATGTGAGGGATCAGAGGACCTGAGAAAGCAAAAGATAGAAGTTCTGCTTGAGAAGTTTAAAAGCTTCAAAATGCTTCCCGGAGAATCATTTGATATGTTGGATGAAAGATTCCACAAGATATTAAATGATCTTGCATCACTTAACCACGTTCTTTCTCCCAAAGAAAAGAATGTAAGGTTGCTGAGATCACTTCCAACTGAGTGGTACACCAAAGCCACAGCCATGGAAGAAGGAAGAAACCTGGAGAACTACACTGTCCAAGGTCTCCTTGACGAGCTCAGAACCTATGAGCACGAGCTGAAGAAGAAGAAGGAAGAACAAGTCACTCCCTTCCCCACGGCACTGATGACAACTCCAAAAGTCCCGTCAAGAGAAGGGACATCCCCAAGGAACTGTGACACACCCTCCTCCAGCCAGCCGTCAAGCTCAAAAATGGAGAACTACGATGAGGAATTTGCCATGATGGTCAAGCAATTCCGGAAGTTCAAAAAGTTCTTCAAGAAGGCTGACTCAGTCAGAAGGCCATCTAGGGGAAAGCCACAGGTAAGTGACTCCCCTCCTGAATCCTATTTGTGTTTTAACTGCAGGAAGCCTGGCCACTGGAAGTAAGCATGCCCATACCCAAAGGTGGAGAAGTACGGAGAAAGAGAAAGGAACGAGAAGAAAAAGAAGGCAATGGTTGCTGCTGAAAGTGATGAGTCATCCAGCTCAAGCTCAGATGAAGAAGCCCTCGTCTGCATGGAGCGCAGAGTTGAAAAGTCCAACCATGAGGATAGGTGGACTATGTCAGAAGATGACACTCTCTGCCTAATGGCTAAAGATGATGCTGATCAAGAGGTAACTTCACAAACCTCCTGCTCATCTTCTTATGAAAGCATACCAACTTCTGAAAATCTTCTTGACCAGTTCAAGAAGATGATGGAAGATTTTGAGGAAATAAATCTCAAACACTCATCCTTAACAGTAGAGAACAAGTTGCTAAGTGAAGAGAATCTCAAGTTGACTGAAGGTCGGAAAAGTCAACTAAATGAGATCACTCAACTTAAAACTGAAAATGAATCTCTCTCTGAAAAGGTGAAATCCCTTAATAAAGAGCTAGGGATACTTAAGTCCAAAGAAGCAGTAGATAAGCTTCTTGAATCGACCAAACATAAGGGTCGTGAAGGACTTGGGTTTAACCCCTCCAGTTCCAAAAGGAAAGGGAGAACAACTTTCATCCCTCCTAAACCTACTGCCAAACCAAATAAGCAGAAAGGAAAGGAAAAGGAGAAACCAACAGAAGTTCCCAAAAAGGTAGTCCATCCTAAGAACTATAGGAAGCTGGACAGACCTCAAAGAGGAAACAATTTCAGAAGAAAACCCTCTAACCCCCACTATACACGAGGCTATACTCATTATGGGGTAGATAGGAGTTTTCCAAGAAATTCTGAGTGGAGAACTATGCCAAGATATAGTCACCCTCCACCCTAGAAATTATTTGTGCCACCTAAGTATGCTTATAACCAACACAGGCCACACTATGCACAACCTAGACAAAACTATAGGTCTTACCAACCTAAGTTTACTAGGAGGAAACAGGAAATTGCACCTCCTGCACGTAGGAAGTTTTATGCCTATAACTATGATTACAATCCCAACAAGTTTAGAGCTGCAAGGAAAATTCCCTGCAACTTCAAACTTGATGTAAGGACACACACCATTAACTACTCCGGACCCAAACTTAATTGGGTACCAAAATCTTCCTCCTCCTAATGCAGGAAGCCGCTAAGTACCCAGGTGTCTGGTACTTAGACAGTGGCTGCTCAAGACACATGACGGGTGATGCGAGCCTTTTGAGCAATCTAATTCCCTATGATGGTCCAAGAGTTACTTTTGGAGGAAGCAATGATTTTGGCCTTACTAAAGGGCCAGGAAATCTGGTGTACAAGGGACTAACCATCCAAGCTGTATCTTATGTTGAAGGTCTCAACTATAACCTTCTTAGCATAAGTCAGTTTTGTGATAAAGGTTACTCCTTGGAATTCTGCAAGGACATGGCATCTCTCAAGAACATCTCCACAAATGAAGTCATTCTCACTGGGAAGAGAATCAGAAACATCTATGAAGTAATGTGGGACAATGTCAAGGAAGCATGCCTAATCAGCAAAGGTGACACTAACCTTCTATGGCTTTGGCATAAGAGGTTGAGTCATCTCAACTTCAAAACTCTCAACAAGCTGTCCAAAGAAGGGTTAGTAGAAGGTCTTCCCAAAGCTGCATTCAGGAAGGAAAGCATTTGTGATGCTTGCCAGAAAGGAAAGCAAGTCAAGTCCACTTTCAAGGCAAAACCGGCACCCTCAACTACAAGGATATTAAGTCTTATTCACATGGACTTATTTGGCCCTGTTACACCAATAAGTCTAAGTGGAAAGAAATATGTCCTGGTAGTAGTTGATGATTACTCAAGATACACGTGGACAATCTTCCTCAACGGCAAGAAGGAGACTCAAGGGAAACTCACCAACTGCATGAAGATGATTCAAAACCAAGCAAGTCAGACCATTCAGAAGATCAGATCTGACAAAGGCACAGAATTCCTGAATGAAATCATCATTCACTACTGTGAAGAAAACGGAATTCTTCATCAGACATCCGCAGCAAGGACACCTCAACAGAATGGTGTAGCTGAAAGAAGGAACAGAACCCTGAAGGAAGCAGTGAGAACCATGCTAGCTGAAGCTTCCTTACCAAAGAGGTTCTGGGCTGAAGCTGTTAACACAGCTTGCTATACTCAAAATAGGAGTATGATTTATAAAAGGCACAACAAAACTCCCTATGAACTGTGGAACGGGAGAAAGCCCAATATATCATATTTCCATATTTTTGGGAGCAAGTGCTTTGTGTTAAACAACGGGAATAATCATCTGAACACTTTTGATGAGAAATCAGATGAGGCCATCTTCCTAGGATATTCCATGATAAGCAAGGCATTCAGAGTCTTCAACAAAAGAACCATGATCACTGAAGAGTCAATACATGTTACTTTTGATGAAAAACATGTGGTTGACAAACCATCAAAGCATGATCATGAGGTTTTGGATCTATCAGACAAGGATGAAGAAGTCAATGAAGGAGATAGAATGAAGCCTACGGAGTTCATTCCATTCAGAAGTCTACCACTGAAGACCTCATAGAGAAATCCGGATTCAGACAGTGCTGAGCCCTCTGAAAATTTTGGCCAGCCTTCCAATATTCCGGATCTCTCAAACGGCGACAATTCCAGAAATGGCGACCCAGTGCCAATCCATCCGGAAACACCAACAACTTCTGTTCTTCAACCAGAAGCTGAACTAGATCAACCAGTCAATCCCAATCAACACAATCTTCGTTGGTTAAGGGATCATCCTCCTCAACAGATCGTCGGAGATATTCAAACTGGTGTTCGCACAAGGAGTGCCCAACAGAATCTAGAAGCTATGCTTGCTTGTTTCATCTCACAAGTGGAACCAAAGAATATTGAAGAAGCTCTAGCTGATCCTGACTGGATCAATGCAATGCAAGAAGAACTCAATCAATTTTCCAGAAATGACGTCTGGAAACTTGTTCCCAGACCTACTCATCAACATGTCATTGGGACAAAGTGGGTCTTCCGGAACAAGATGGATGAAAACGGCGTTGTTGTCAGAAACAAAGCCCGATTAGTTGCAAAAGGATACTGTCAAGAAGAAGGTATAGATTTTGATGAAACCTTCGCTCCAGTTGCTAGACTTGAAGCTATAAGGCTGTTTCTAGCCTTTGCTGCTCACAAGGACTTCAAGGTCTACCAAATGGATGTCAAAAGCGCATTTCTCAACGGAAACCTCGAGGAAGAAGTTTATGTGGAACAACCTCCAAGATTTGAGTTACACAATACACACTAAGGGAGATCAAGTGTATAGACTCAAAAAGGCGCTGTATGGACTCAAACAAGCACCAAGAGCTTGGTATGATACATTGTCTCAATTTCTTATAGACAATGGATTTACCAAAGGAGTCATTGACAAAACATTGTTCAAACTACAAGATGGAGAAGATCTCCTATTAGTTCAGATCTATGTGGACGACATCATATTTGGCTCAACTAAGGAAGATCTATGCACCAAGTTCTCAACCCTCATGCAAGGAAAATTTGAGATGAGCATGATGGGGGAACTCAACTACTTCCTTGGCCTTCAAATCAAACAGAGAAGTGAAGGCACTCTCATCAACCAAGCCAAGTACACAAGGGATCTTATCAAGAAATTCAAAGTTGATCAGAAGTCATCCGTTTCTGTCCCCATGAGTACATCCACCAAGTTTGATGTGGATGTAGATGGAAAGGATGTAGATCAAACTCTCTACAGAGGAATTGTCAGATCTCTACTTTACCTTACTGCAAGCCGTCCGGATATCTCATATGCAGTAGGTGTTTGTGCCAGATTCCAGTCAAAGCCAAAGGAAAGTCATCTGATAGCAGCTAAAAGGATTCTTA